ACATTACGCATCTCCATTCCATTTATCATGAAATAAAGTGTATTTTTTCACTTAACATTTTTCTGTTTTATGTATGCCATATATTGGCATATGGTATATTGCTGACCAATATATCGATAATCGTGATATTGTGATATAATCATTATCGTGATATAATCGTTTTCCGTGAGCTTTGTATCGCGTATCGTATCGTGAGGTACCCTTAGGTTCCCACCCATATTGTGAATCAGATCTTTTAAAGCAAAAGGTAGATTAAATGTAAAGTTTTTTCCCTTCAATTACTCGCACAGAGCAATAATCGTAATCATAATTTAGTCACGTATTTCCCTTTGATATAACTCATCTATTTTTGAAGGGGTCTTGAAAGGTGTGGGTCAATTGCGGCTCCAGTGCAATTTTTCATGTATTTGTTTATAAATAAATTCAATAAATCATGTGTTTATAGTAAATGTATTATTATTATTCTGTCTATGATTGTTATCCATATCCTTTATTACCCTAAGTGCCTGTTTTTAGTTCCCTCAGTCTGATGTGCTGCGTATGCATTTAACAGCTATTTCCTTTTGGTGCCAGTAAAACCAATGGTCACTGCTTTCCTTGTTTGTTATGACCAAGCTGTTTTTTATCAGTGTGTCTCTTGGGTGTTTGGACATGCATATATCTTTCTGCAGCATACATTTTCATTCCTACATCTTAGTTTGTTTAATTAGTTGACAGGGACTTGAGTTGCACAGGCCAGACATAGCCACCAGCTCATTTTCATTCTAGGTATATAGTATTTATTTAATTATTATTTATTTCAAACTTGTAAACTAGAAGACAAAAACAATAAACAGGGTACAAAATAATCAGCAATACACTGTTTGAAAAGGGGTTGGACGAAGCAGCAGCAATAGTCTATAGTTCAAAACTGTCTCTATGACAAAAGTCTGGTTGAGAAACGCTTTGTCACTTCAAGGTGAAAAAACCCATAATAACATTGTGTTGCTAAGGGACTCTGTCTGTTCAGGCTTTTAGTAAATTATCGCTGTCACTCAGACGGCTGTCCATGATTGGATGTGATGGGGTTGGGAGGGGATCCGGGGTTATCGAAGCGTGCCCTAAAATCAGCCAATGCATTTAGTTACGAGCAGGCGGAGGCTGACGGGGCTTTAAAAGTTCATCAGGAGGAGTGCTTTCAGGTTACTGTCAAAACCGGCTCAAACTCAGGGAGTAAAAGCCATTCAGACTGTAACTGTGTTTCATGCTGAGCACAAGACCAATGTACTCTCAGATTATTCTCACTGCAGCTGATTGCCAGAGTGTTGCAGAAGTGTTCTGTGCTATTGTTGGACTTAATCTTTGAGAAACAGGCCTGTTTTTTAAACCTTTGACCTATGGATACATGGTGTGGTGTGGTTTTTATGTTTTCAGGGATGATGTACAACAGACAACAAATCTACCTTTTGCTTTAAAAGATCTGATTCACAATATGGGTGGGAACCTAAGGGTACCTCAGCCAAAAGACCAAAAATGGTCTTTTGGCTATTTCTGACTTTTCTAATCATGCTAATTTGTGTATTTTATTAAATTGCATTGCCCCATTTGAAACCAATGAATCTAAAGCAGAGATAGATAGATAGATACATACTTTATTGATCTCCCGTTAGAGAATGTAGGTGTCCAGTAGCAGCAGAAACACATCCATCCATTGAAACGGAACAAATAAATACATAATTCTAAAAGTAATACAATAGTAATACAATTTAACAGCACTTTAGGTGATGCATTGTGCCATTATAAATGATCATTTACACATGCAGTGTAAAACCTGTAAACCAATCACCTGTAAATCATTTTTGGATTTATTATCCTTTTCAATGCAGAAAATGCAACACCGAGTGCTTGGTGAAAAAATCCATTCAATTCAATGTATTATTGCGGCCAGCTGCAGAATTCAAAGTACTGAAGATAAGTGTGTCTTGGACCTATGAATACATATGCACAATAGTAAAGCATTTGAATGGAAAAACATGGTGCATTCTTTAATTTATCTGCAAATATAAAGTTATGAATATAATGTTTCACAAATATGAATAATAAACATCCTGTAGACATGCCATGTTGTTAGTTGTCATCGTATCAGTATAAAAGGCTGCAGCTTTAAAGGGGATGTGATCACTTTAACCAACAGATGACTGGTGGTAAGTGACAGTTAGTTCCTGATAGTGATGTATTGCTGTTTAGATGCTTTCGCCTTTGTGCAGATGTGAGTGTATCAGGGCAGACAGACTTGGATCATGCATGGGGGAACGCGTCTCTACCCTGCTCCCTGTCAGAACCCTGGACCACAGCCCTTCGGTCGGTGAGAGTCTGTGTCTATGTGGACCTTAGTCCTTAGTGTCTCTGGTCACTCTCTATTACTGCGTGACAGCATGGAGAAGTGTGTGCTGTGTCTGTGCAGAAGACAGATGGTAGTGATCTGTATACAGTGGGGTCAGTGGTCAATATACTGCTTATGCCATAATAACTGATAATCTGGAGAATATATGGAGAAATGCTTTTGGGATTCAGGGCAGTCACTGAGCTGTCTGGAAAGTGAAAAGTCGTCTCATTGAGCTGCTTTTCTTTGGATTCCCCTCTTCATTCATGTCTCAGAACAGTTGGTAATGGTTTGGATATATGCATTTGAACTGAAGGCACTGCTACAGTCTGTCGGTGTGTTAGAGCTGGAGATTTTTCCAGACAATTTTATTCGATTGTGGTGCTTCTTGTTCCCTCGAGTTTAAGTAGTATGAGATGGAGTCCTTTGTTAACAGCGGCAATAGTTTGAGTATACTGCTTTTTTCTTCTTTGTAAAAGTGAGGTTGATAATCCTTCTTCTTACACTCACCTTAATGTGTAAGATGGATTTACTTTTGTAGTCACATGTGTATCCATTTGCAGTAAAACCACATTGGAAAAACTGTGCAAGACTACCCCAGTGTGCACCAGATAGTATACACACCAGAGCTCCTGCCACGGCGCCATGCAAATTCACAGTAAGAAGATCCTGGGTCTGATAAAAACTCCAGACTAGGTGGAGTTTGCATGTTATTCCTGTGTCTGATCCGATTTTTTCCTGTTGCTCCGGCTTCTCCTTGTGTCTGATAGTCCCAAACACCCTCCTTGACCCCACTCCTGCCCCTTGTCTGGGGCTCTCAGTGGGACTTCACTGATGAAATAAAGGTCAATAAAAAGATAAAACGGCTACATACAGTGCCTTGCGAAAGTATTTGGCCCCTTGAACCTTTCAACATTTCGCCACATTTCAGGCTTCAAACATAAAGATATAAAATTTTATTTTTTTTCTCATGAATCAACAACAAGTGAGACACAATCGACAAACCATGAAGACAAAGGAACACACCAGGCAGGTCCGAGATACTGTTGTGGAGAAGTTTAAAGCCGGATTTGGATACAAAAGATTTCCCAAGCTTTAAACATCTCAAGGAGCACTGTGCAAGCAATTATATTGAAATTGAAGGAGTATCAGACCACTGCAAATCTACCAAGACCCGGCCGTCCCTCCAAACTTTCATCTCAAACAAGGAGAAGACTGATCAAAGATGCAGCCAAGAGGCCCATGATCGCTCTGGATGAACTGCAGATAACTACAGCTGAGGTGGGGATGGTGTGTTCAGGGTGATGAGCTGTGTTGCTTTTACGCCAAACATTCGTTTTGCATTGTGACCAAAAAGTTCGATTTTGGTTTCATCTGACCAGAGCACCTTCTTCCACATGTTTGGTGTGTCTCCCAGGTGGCTTGTGGTAAACTTTAAACAAGACTTTTTATGGATATCTTTCAGAAATGGCTTTCTTCTTGCCACTCTTCCATAAAGGCCAGATTTGTGCAGTGCACGACTGATTGTTGTCCTATGGACAGACTCTCCCACCTCAGCTGTAGTTATCTGCAGTTCATCCAGAGTGATCATGGGCCTCTTGGCTGCATCTCTGATCAGTCTTCTCCTTGTTTGAGATGAAAGTTTGGAGGGACGGCCGGGTCTTGGTAGATTTGCAGTGGTCTGATACTCCTTCCATTTCAATATAATTGCTTGCACAGTGCTCCTTGAGATGTTTAAAGCTTGGGAGATCTTTTTGTATCCAAATCCGGCTTTAAACTTCTCCACAACAGTATCTCGGACCTGCCTGGTGTGTTCCTTTGTCTTCATGGGTTCTCTCTTTGCTTTAAACAGAACCCTGAGAGACTATCAAAGAGCAGGTGCATTTATACGGAGACTTGATTACACACAGGTGCATTCTATTTATCATCATCAGTCATTTAGGACAACATTAGATCATTCAAAGATCCTCACTGGAACTTCTGGAGTGAGTTTGCTGCACTGAAAGGTAAAGGGGCCGAATAATATTGCACGCCCCACTTTTCAGTTTTTTATTTGTTAAAAAGTTTAAATTGTCCAATAAATTTCGTTCCACTTCCCGATTGTGTCCCACTTGTTGTTGGATTCATGACAAAAAATTAATTTTTTTATTCTTTTATGTTTGAAGCATGAAATGTGGCGAAATGTTTGAAAGGTTGATTACTTTCGCAAGCACTGTACATATAATATTTATGCCATGAGAGGAAAGTACACATCAGTAGCCGACACAGACAACACATAAAATAGTGAAATCGAATCTAAAACATGTAACCCATGAGTAAACCCTCCATAACAGCATTCAGAGTCTATGCCGGATGTTAGAATAAAAATACATTTTGCATTCGTACCGCGGTCCGCGACTAAGGTGGAAGAGGGGTGCACACGTACAAACAGACTTGATCAAAGATTGGCTCTGTTTCTGACAGCAGGGAATTACGACAACAGTGTGTGTCAGCCCCAGCAGCAGCCGGAAGCACAGTGGTTTTCTCAGTTACAAAGCCACTCGCTGCTGGGTGATCAAGTAGAGGAGGTTGTATCTGAGCACAACAGGAAGCTGTGAGGTGGGGCGCCAGTCCATGGCCAAGTTCTCCTTTTTCCTGCATGCGGCTCTGTCACTCGCTCCCACTTCAGACTCCGGGAGGGAATAGCCGGCGTGTGCGGCCTTGGCAGTGCTGGGTTGGGGCAGAAATGGCCAGTGAAGATGTGAAAGAGGACTTACAAGTGGATCAGGCTGACAGTGACCTTGTAAACACAGATCATGGTGACACAGAGGCCTCGGTAGGCACTTCTAAACTCATAATATATATTCTATTGATTTAATGGTTTTGATTTAGAAAGTGTAAATCATATAGCGTAACTACTTTTCTACATAATCACTATTGTGTAGTACACTGTTGGCCTACTTGTTTTTCTTACCACCTTCCTGCACTTCCTGTAAATGGTTTAAAACAATTCCCTTTTCTCTGTAACTCTCTAACATAACACACTTGGTATGAATAGAACTTTGGTGATGCATTGGAAAGAAAACAATGAAAAGATGGAGATATTTGATTCAATCTAACCTGTTTCTTTCGTTTACAAAGCTCTGCTCAGGGAGTGCAAAATGCAACCAGAGTTTTAGCAGGTAAACAGAGCAGAGACCACTATACTCCTATTCTTCTAACCCTGCCCTGGCTCCTTTGCTTAGTTTTGAATTCCTTTTAAAATGCTTATTTTTTTGGAAAGTCTCAATAGAATGGCACCATCTTACTTAAATGACCTCCTCCAGCCCATCCTTCCTCCCAGTGCAGATCAGTGCCTTCTTGTTGTCACTAAAACCAGGCTGAAGACCAGAGGAGACGGGGCCTTCTGTGATAGGACCATGTGGAACTCTTTACCTTTTCAGTTTCACATTAGAATTGCACAATCACTCGAACATTTTAAATCCCTGCTTAAGACGCACCTTTTCTCTTTTTTAGTTTTTTTTTTGTATGTACTGTATACATATTATTTCTATTTTTATTGTTGCACTTGTCCGTACAGCACTTTGGTTGGCCTTGGCTGTTTTTAAATGTGCTTTACAAATAAATATTGATTGATAAAGCGTTTGCTACTTCAGAGTGCATGAATGTTTGTCCACTAGCACAACCACAGAACAGCTATTTCACACACACTAAAGTTTCATATTGTGACTAACATGGGTCTGCCTAATTTAAATCACTTGTAGATTGTGGATTTTTGTGGATTGTGGATTTTTTGCAATACACTTTGTAAAAGGAGAAAATAATATGACAAAAAAAAATTGGTACTGCAATAAAAATGTGCTAAAATGTACTTCTTAATGCGATTCAAGCCGGAATTTGAACTCTGAAGACCTGTTTCTGTTTTTGACTTCGAACGATGTACTTGACATTTACATTTTGGATACACCTTCCACCTCTCGTGTGGACTACAGATTTGGAAAGACTTTCCCTAAAAGAGAGTTTTTGACCTTTAGTATTAATGATTTTATCTCGGATGAACATTTTTCCTTTTGGCCCTCGTCACACTGCTGCCAGAGCTAACCTCTAAAACCTATGCTTTTGTAATTGCTTTATTATTAAACTGTTTTGCATAGTGTGCATTGGTTTTCTTAGCTTCCTTGTTGACTTCCTGCTTGACTTCTCCTGTCATTGTGACTTCTCTGTCCTTTCTGCTGTGGTGAGTTTAACCAAAGCTCGACTGTTTGAAACTCCAGGGATTCTAAGTATTGTGTTCAATATGCGTCATTCCTTCCTGTTGCTCAAGGTGCCTCATCATCCGAAGCACAGACCTACTGTTTTCATAATATGGCGTCTCAGTGCTGCGGGCCACCTTCACGATTATGTTTCTAACTTTGCTATACACAATGCCAGTCAAAGTTGGTCGTTGGCCTATTCTCCATTTTTCACAAAGAACCTGCACACAATATGCTATTGAATATCTATTGGTCTGATTTTTTATACTGAGGGTGAAAGGTATAATGCTTGAAAGATGAATTCAATAACTGCCTCATTATCCAAAGCCATTCAGAGTTGAGGATGTCAGCATATCTACCCCTGTACATTCAAAACATTGCAACTGTTTATATATTAGATTATGTATAGATGTGTATTAGCCACTCTTAATAGTAGCTCTTATAGCACTTACATTTGTTTATTGCTCATCCTCCTGAAAATCAAAACATGCAGGCTAATCTCTGTCCTCCTGATGTTGTGTAATGATGACTTAACTTTGCATTAGCGCAGAAAATCCAGAGGCCTCTCTATGCTGTCCGTCAGTGCCATGTGCTCTGCTTCTGACCGCTGCTGTATGGGGGAGTGTGGCTGGATTACGGCTTTATTGAGAGCGTACTGTAGCTGGAGCCCTGCTTGCATGTAGCTGCTAAGAAGTTGTAATCAGATCTGCTAAGCTGGAGGGCGCGCTGAAAGAGCCCAAGCCCCCGATTCAGTGTGAGCAACTATTGAGGCCTTTCGCAAAACTCACCTCTATCGTACAGGCTGAAGTCAACCAGCCTCTTTTTTTGTAGACTAAAAAGGGGAGAGGCCAAAAAGCCTCTCCAAACTATTAAATATAACTGGCTTCAAAATAACATCAACAAACTACTAAACAATCTATTAATAAAAGGTTAATTACATTTCAGTCAATAGTTTTATCTGTATTAAATGCAAAATTAAATACCAAATTATCCATTAGTTTGCTCCATACCTTCTCAGTGTTGCAGTTTTACCCTATAGATTCTTGCCATTTAAATGATTTTGTTACGTGTTGTAAACTAAGACACCGTTGACCATCTAAACGACAAAGACCGTCAGCCACAGCTCAAATAGTCTGAAGTCCTTGACACACTCTCTCCTCTCCTCAGAGCGACCCGGGAGGGCTGTCAGTCCTGCAGCAGCTCGGCCTGGATCACACCACAGACTTCTCGGACTGCAGCGTCCAGCAGCGTCTGGACGAGCAGCGGGAGAAGATCCGCAGAGAGATTAGAAAAGAGTTGAAGATAAAAGAGGGAGCGGAGAACCTGCGACGGGCCACAACTGACAAGAGAAACGCACAACATGTGGACTCACAACTGCGTAGCTCCAACCGCAAACTGGAGACGTTACAAGCCCAGCTGCAGGAGCTCGATGCACACATCGTGGTCAAAGGACACGATGATAATAAAGGTATTTTATTTCTAGGGCCAAACCTCAATATGTCGAAGATTATACAATTCTGCCCATTCCACCACTCTGAACAACAGTGGGAATGTATGTGTTTCTCCACTTGTCCAGATGCCCCGCGGTCTCCTGGGTCAGGCCGGACATCAGCCACAGAGCACAGGATCGCAGCTCTGGAGCGGCAGCTCAACATCGAGCTCAAGGTCAAGCAGGGGGCAGAGAACATGATACCCATTTATGCCAACGGAGTGACTAAGGTAATGTTTGTTTGACAACATGTCGTTTAGCTTCTGTTTATGTTTAGCATCTTGGTGCCCGGATTGCAGTTGAAGAACAATTCATATTAGCATAGATTTCAAAGCGAAACATGGCCTTGATCTTTTCCCTGAGAATTTGATAAATTGATTGTTTCCATTATTTTATTCCAGCTTTCAGGTGTTTTTCTTTAAATAAAGGTTTAGAAATATTTAGTTTTGCGTCCACTAAGATGGCATTTGTTTTAAACTGTTAAACTTAATGTTATATTCTGCTTCTACTGTATTAGTTCATCTGTTGCATATTTCTACTCTACAGGACAAGAAGCTTCTACAGGCAACTCAACAGATGCTGCAGGACAGCAAGACTAAGATTGACATCATCCGCATGCAGATCCGAAAGGCCATGCAGGCCACAGAGCAGTCCGAGGACCATCACGGTACGACCCATCTTTCAACCCCTCTTTTATCCCACCTGCACCTCTCACTCTCGCACACAATGCATATTTAATGACAGGCGTGGTAATGGATCAATGTGCCTTTAGCCTACCTACACACACACACACACACACACACACACACACACACACACACACACAGACAAACACACACTCACATTGTCCATTATAGGCCTCTCACAGGTTAAAGCTTATTGACGTACCTCTGGCCCCTTGAAGTTGGCCAGAATCTAAAAGCCATGGCTCATTTAGTGGAGGTTAGAGAGGAGCGGGCGGCACAGGGAGTCAGGAAGCTGCAGAGACTAAAGGTCTGAGTCAGGGATGACGGCAGAGCAAACCCAGGGAAATCCAGAGGGGTGCCGATGAAAGACAGAAGACCGGAAGTCAAACAAAGAGGAGAGCTGCTGTGATCTGAAAACATGTGGTCTCTTTCATAAAGATAAAGTTTGTTTTTGTATCTAAAAAACAACAGACTATACTCTGCAGACTGTCTCATATACAATATGTTTTGTTCATGTGACATCACAACATCCCAAGAGCAAAGTTGTGGGGGGAGGTCAGCTGATAAATGTCCTGATATGTCAACATTCTTGGCGTATAGTTAATTTTTCTCTGTAAATCCTGTGCCAGAATTGTCAGTACTTACCCATACTGGTATTTTCTCATAGATGTGACAAAAAGTGGTGACAATGTTCATGAAACTGAGGCCCTGTTTAGATGGAGACGCCGCGACAGTAATACGATAGAGTTGGGTGTCTGTTTGGCCTTATATGAGGATTGTGTTTCAGGTGAAAATGCAAGCCTTGAGAAACAGCCTCCAGAGTGGAACAGAGCAGATACACTGCTTGGCGGGGGGCTGTTTCACAGCTGCGTGAAGAAAAAGGTGTGAATGCAATGATCTCTCCACTTCCCTGCACGTAGATTTGGACATGCGCAGTAGCCGAGAACAAACGGCGGGTTTACGTGTGCTGCGAGCACTTATACGGAGGAGAAAAGCACAGGAAGCTCTTGTTTCAGTTTCCAGAATGTTGTTAAGGAAGTGATTCTACTTCTGGCGGGGCTGGGGGTTGCGTGTGTTGTGTTGTAAAGTTCCACTGCCCACTACGGGCCGGCCGCTAGAACTACATTGATTTCCGTTGTCGACTAAACGTTGTACACTTCAAATAAGGAGCCTGGTCGTTTTTGCGAATTGCTTTGCAGCGTCTCCGTTTAAACGAGGCCAGAAGTTGGCCAGTAGAAAGGATATTCAGATAGAAGAATAAAATGGCAAGTTTGTGAATCTAGTCACAATCAAATAATGATCTGCAAAAACATTTTGACATATTCTTTTTCAACATTTGAAGAGTTGTATTTACACCATTCTACAACATGAACACAACCTGTTCAGTGCACGTGGTGTTGGTGCTGACTCTGAGTGTTGTGTGTATGTCCAGGTAAAGCCGACATGTGTGGAGTGGAGCTGCGTGTGGAGGAGCTGTGGCATCACTACAGAGTGGAACATGCCATGGCTGAGGGGGCCAAGAACATGCTGAGACTGTTGGGAACTGGCAAGGTCCAGGACAAAAAGGCCATAGCCGAGGTGAGATACATTATATATAGATTCATATTTACTTGCTGCTCTTATGAAGCATTTACAGCTTCTTATCTTTGTATATTTTGTGTTCTCCTTGTTGGCTCTTACTACTGTCCTCTATAAGTTTGTGTAAGCCCTCAGTCGTACAGGGATTAGTCAAAGCAAAGGAAGGTTTCTCACCCATCATCTGTACTTCTTAGCAAGTTTTCCCGACGTTTCGTCCTCAACCTGGGGACTTCTTCAGGGAATGAATTCTCGGACCGCGCGTTGGAGATTTATAACCTATGGGTGTGGTAAGCCACACCCTAATCCTGATACTAACTCGTAAACAATCTCAGGTCTGCTTGATGTAGAAGGGGAGCAGGTCTAACGATCCTGCTGAGGCTAACGACCCTAACTTCTTAGCATGTCACTGACCTTGTCCCAAGTTAGGGCGTTGTTTTTAGGATGTCGTCATAGATGCGAGGCAAAACAAATCTTAACCCTCCTCCTCTGTTAAGAGAAGGTTTTTGTTTCCTCACAAAAATGGCTTCTTTCACCCCTCTCTCAAACCAATTCTTCTCCCGAGCCAGAATTTTAACCTCTGTGTCATCCACCGTGTGGTTGGAGGCCTTGAGGTGGAGATGAACAGCCGACTGTGGCCCACTAGAGTTTTCTCTACGATGTTGGTAAAGTCGTTTCTGTAGAGTTTGTTTGGTTTCTCCAATATAGTGGTCAGTGCACTCCTCTTCACTACATTTAATTGAATACACCACATTGCTCTGTTTGTGTCTGGGTGTTTTGTCTTTGGGATGCACTAATTTCTGTCTTAACGTGTTGAAAGGTTTGAAATACACAGGGATTTTGTGTTGCCTAAAGATTCTTTGTAGTTTCTCTGAAACTCCCGCCACATACGGTAAGGACACCCCTCTCCTCCTACTTTCTTCTGTCTGTAGGACTGTGTCTCTGGCCTTTCTCGTCCTTTGGGCTTTAGTAAAGGACCACTTGGGGTAGCCACATCTGGAAAGTGCTCTCTGAACATGTTTGGTTTCTCTGTTCTTTCCCTCCGAGCTAGTGGGGACCTGGTGGGCTCGGTGTTGAAGCGTTCTAATGACCCCGAGTTTGTGTTGTAGCGGATGATTTGAATCAAAGGCCAAGTACTGGTCAGTGTGAGTGGACTTTCTGAAGACCTCAGTCTCTAATTGTCCGTTCTCCAGTATGATGACCTTACAATCTAGAAAGGCGAGTTCACTCTCCTTAGCATCCTCGCGAGTGAAATTTATAAAAGGGTCCACCGCGTTAATGTGTGCTGAAAATGGTTCCACTTCCTGTTTCTTTAACTTAACCCATGTATCGTCTACATATCGAAACCAATGGCTTGGCGCTGTCCCTTGGTAAGAGCCCAGGGCTTGTTCCTCCAGTTTCTCCATATACAGATTGGCCACTATAGGAGAGACTGGGGAGCCCATCGCACAGCCATGAATCTGTCTAAAGAAGGTGCCTCTAAATTGGAAATACGTGGTGTTAAGACACATTTCAAGTATTTCAAGCAACGTCGGGAAAACTTGCTAAGAAGTACAGATGATGGGTGAGAAACCTTCCTTTGCTTCTACTGTCCTCTATGTTCGCTACAACATCGAACAATTAAAGGTTCTCTGATCTTGTGGTAGAACCAGTGGGGGCGGGTCCCAGCTCAAAAGTGGCCAAAATGACGTGCGCTGACATGCTTGCAAAACCACCCCGGGCCGATGGGGGTGGACCCAGAAGAAGAATTAACCAATGCTAACATATAGCGTTAGCAGACCTCTCAAAAACGTCTTTACAGGATGGTCCAAAAGTTGGCTCTTGGCCCAAAGATCCGTTCCACATGTGTGTCAATGCTGAGGGGGGTGAATTTTTTTGGTACACTCTAGTTTACTTGCTGTGAATTTTTGAAGTCTCTCGTTCAGATGAATGGAGCTGCTCCGGCTGACGCATGCGCAGATGCGTTTTTAAATTTTTTTCTTGTGGGCGGGACCACTCGCGGCCATTTTGGATTGCTCCAGTAGAGCACATTTTTTGGCCCATTAGTTAGAACGGGGGAGATAGGCGTGACTCTGTCCGTTAATATATACAGTCTATGGGTAGAACGCAATGTTTTTGACAATATGGTATTAGACAGTTACTTTTAATAATGGCTGGCAGAGTGCAGTATTATTCATTCCACTCTTGATGTAGATTTACAGAAGTTGATGAGGAAACAGGGGCCTTTCGGCCAATGTTGACATGTTGCTGTTTCTACAGGAGTGAGTCCTTAATCATGATGCCTTAAATGATAGAAATTAGTAGATATATTTTTTGTGCTTTCTTTTCCCACTATTCAAATGTATTTTCACTTTGATTTTTAAGTCTCTCTTTCTCTCTAGGCTCAGTGTGGTCTGAGCGAGTCCACCCAGCGTCTGGACCTCCTGAAGTGTTCTTTAGAGCAGAGGTTACAGGAGCTGCCTGAAGACCACCCCAAGGCCTGTCTCATTAAAGAAGAGCTTGTGCTGGCCACATCCACTGCTTTCAGCTCTCGTCACAGTGCCCCCTATGTTCATAACCAGTATAGCACACTCTGCAAACCCTCCCCTTTAACAGGTACACAACATGGTTGTTTCTCTTTTATATTGTACTAAATTACCCTTTTTTTTTACCATTACTTGTTCTATTTATTTTCCCAAAATTGTAGAAACACAAACATACAGATAAACTGTAGGTCCAGGACAGATGTGACCAACAACATTAGTTGGACTAACATGCCATTACAATCTTTACACACCTGAATTACAAGGAAAATTTGCTTTGCCATGGGCAGCGGTCATTATTGGTTTTAGAGGTCCATTATCAAGAAATAATAGTGACAAATGCGTTTTTATATTTTCCTAGATCCAGTTAAAAAAGGGGAACAGAGGTTTGATGATTAGATGCAGGTGTTTTTAAAACGCTGCACCTCCTCTGTGCAGGTACTCTGCAGGTGCATCTGCACGGATGTGTGGGTCTTCTGGAGGTGGTCCCAGGCCGCAGCCGAGGGACCCCTGTTACACTCCCTTCGTACTCAGTGGGAGACGGACGCTCCTCCTTCAAACTGAGTGGCCTTTACAGCCGCAGCACCAGCAGCATGAGCCTCAAGATCCCCAGTAAAAACGAAGAGCTGTCATGTGAGTACAGTGGAAACCAGCTCTGACGGGCAATCGCCGTGGTTACAGAGAAATAAAGCCATTATGTTTGTTTCCCACAGCGGAGGTGAGTGCGGTGCTGAAGCTGGAGAACTCTGTGGTTGGAAAGACCGGCTGGAAGACTGTGGGGGAACAAGCCTGGGACCAGAGTTTCACTGTGGAACTTGAGAGGGTAAGAAAGAGGTCGACTGATGTGGTTATTTCAGGGCTTCAGTAAATAATCGTTATTATCATTCCATATCTTATATCCTTATCTCCATATCCATATATTTTAGACTTCTTTCCTTATTATGCTACAGATGGAGATTTGCTGGATGCTGCTCCTTTTTGTGCTGGAGTTAGTTATTTTATTTTAGTATAAAGTTATTATTCTTTTATCCTGTGTTCTCCTCATTTCTACTGTTCTGTAACTTGTGATGCAACGCTGATATTTCCCCACTGTCGGTCGAATTTCTTAATTTTTCTATTTGTACTGTGTAAACAAATACAGTACGTATTTGTTTAATATAACCACAATAAATCTATATAAAATGGCATTAACTTTATTAACTTTCTGTCTTTGTGTTTAGACTCAGACAAAACTATTGTATGTTACAGATGACGGACATATCAAAACAGTCTGAAGCAGAATGTCTGTTTTGTTTGATGTTTGATTTGCTCACACCATTACTTTTTTTGGCACAATCAACATGAACTGGTAGTGGAAGGGAAAAATTAGGTACCCCAGCTTTAATTTAGCGAGTGCGCTTCGGGAGAAGACACGGAGGAGATAGAGGCTCCGTAGTCCAGCTTCAGCGCTGTATATATTGTGTACACCGGTTATGCAAAGACACAATCACAACAAGCAGAGAATAGTTCTGTGCGTGGTCTTGGATATGACGTTACGCGGCGCCCTTTCGCCGTGATCACAGCCGCTGGAGGAACCGCTGCCCAGAGCGCCCGCAGCTCAGCTCACAGAGTTCATACAGGAAACAACAGCAAGTGTCCGCGGCACTTCCGAGTGTTATTGTAAGATGTATGGGCTGGTCATTCGGTACATGCGTCAATCGCGTTAAAAAAATTAATTAACATGCGTTAACGCAATAATTTTGACAGCCCTAGTATTTATCAAAAAACAGTGCATTGTGCTGTCATCATGTAAACGCACATTGCACTTTAGAGTTTATCTGCAATTGCACTGATCATATTGAAGTAAAACACAAATTGCGTTTATCTGAAATCTAAGCAAGTGATAAAAGCTAATCAAATGTGGTCAGTGTTTCTGCGAGTGAGTTATCTAACATGTTTCTTTTGTTCTTTGTGCTCAGTCCAGAGAGATGGAAATAGCTGTTTACTGGAGAGACTACCGCTCCCTGTGTGCTCTCAAGTACCTGAAGTTGGAGGAGTTCCTGGACAATCAGAGACACCAGGTCCAGCTGGAACTGGAGCCACAAGGCCTGCTGCTGGCCGAGGTGCTGCCCACAACTCAGCACCCACACTAATAACAAATAAATACAAATGATAAAACACTTCTTACAGGATTATTCTTTCTTACAGGTGACCTTCTTTAATCCGGTCATAGAGAGAGGCCGCAGACTACAAAGGCAGAGGAAGGTCTTCTCCAAGCAGCACGGTAAGTCACTACTGCAGCTACTTCCTGTCCCCGCTATACATCACAAATAGGGCTTGTGTACTGGGGGCCACTGTGCAAGAAACAGATCCTACACAAATAAATACTTTGAAGATCTGATATACCAGTCTGTGGTAGCTAGTGCCGTGTTCTTTGGGGTCGCGTGTTGGGGGCAATCTGACCTCGAGAGACAGTAACCGGCTCGACAGGCTGATCAGGAAATGTGTCTCTGTGATGGGGAGAAGTGTGGACTCTGTGTGAGCTGTGCTGGAGAGAAGGAAGAGGGCTCTAATGCAGGGCATCCTGGGTAACTCCAGACACCCTCTGCATGACACTATGGCCGCTCAGAGGAGTAATCGAAGCAACAGGCTGCCGAACGGAACGTTTCAAGAGATACTTTGTTCCTTCGGCTGGCAGACTGTACAACAAACCTGGATGAGTCTTCTGCTGCTGGACACCTGAATTTCTCCTATGGGGGATCGATTAAATATCTATCTATCTATCTAATAATGGAAGTGTATTCTGTCACCGTCTCAGGTAAAGCCTTCTTGCGCGCCCGCCAGATGAACGTGGACATTTCTACCTGGTTGCGGCTGCTCAGGAACGCCATCCCCAGTGGAAGTCACGGTCCCTCCTACACCTCCAGCTTCACCCACAGCTCCATCTCCAACATTAGCGGGTACGTGACCACTGTTTGAACTTCAGACAACCAGTGTTTACATGTGGCATCTCACTTTGCTATCGCCGTCATTCTAAAAGCTGATATAGGTTTAAACAAAGCACTTTAATGGTCTTAAAACCCTTAAATGGTTTCCTCAGCCGTTTGGTAGATCACCTTTGAGTCACTATAGCTACTGGAAGCTAGCTTGGAACTGAAATATACCTCTTTGTGTCATGGTGTGGACTTTTTGACCATTTTGACCTGCCTGGTTTTATTTTGCAATTTGTTTTTGTTGTTTGAGTTTGCTTCCTGTCTGTTCTGTTGATTGTTGCCCCGCCTCCACCTGTGTCTCCCTGTGTGTATTTATGCCTTGTGCTTTTCCCCACTTGTTGACCTTGGATTTTTTTTAAATTACATTTCATTTGATTTTCAGGGTTCCCTTTTTCTTCATGTCCCCACATGACACTTTGGGGCATCCCACTTGGTTTTAGGCACTTTTACCATCAAACTGCATCTCAACCATTTGGTAAAGGCCTATAATAAAAAAGAATAGGAGTTAAAACAAAACAAAAAACCCGTAAAAAAACAATTATTTGTGTTATTAGTGTCCTACATCTTAGATAATCCCAAAAATAATAATTACATTGCTTTCTTCAAGGAGTTAATGTTAGAGGTTAAGATAAGATACAATAAGATAAAACTTTATTGATCTCACAATGGAGAAATGTACATGTTACATTTGTCACTAGGGTGTGCAAACAGGCACTTGCTCTCGCATTGAAACTGTTTTTGTTCATCAATTTCAGTAACAATTGTTGCATACATTTTTTTTTGCCTGTTTTATTCCTGTATTTTTTCAGCTTGTTTTATTCCTGTTCTTTTCAGCCTATTTTATTTATGTACTTGTCTGGTGCACAATGTATTTTTAATGTGATTTTAATGCAAATGGCAAATAACACGAATCTGAATCTGACTGTTGCAGAGAAATCTCAGTGGAAAAGCTGAATTTGGAAAGCGACTCTCCTCCGAAAGCAGAGTTCCGGAGCGGCGTGGTGGACAGCCCCGCGGCGGTGAGTCCACAGAGACAGACAGGAGTGCGATGGCCATCTTGACACGATCATGTTACTGTTTCACCCACTTCCTACCTGAAACCACTGGCTCCACAACAGAGGTCCAGTCATATGTAGCACACCGTAGTGAAATCGAATCTCGAGAAGAGAGGGGCTGGAGAAAGAGAAAGGATGAAAGCAGTAATTGGAGGATTGGGGAGCTCATTGAGAGTTTTAATGGGGCTGGATTTGATGGAGAGCGTTGATAAAACTGACAGCAGTGAAATACGCGGGAGTATGGACTTTTCTCGGCAGCGAACATATAAATATAAATACATTTGGGACGGTTTGTTTCTGTTCCGATAACAAAAACACGTACAAACCATGAACTTTGAAATTAAATCGTCCAATAGTTTCTTTTGATCTGCTGTATTATGCTCTGGTGACCACAGTGGGCTGGGAATTATAATGTGCTATTTATGTCCTTGTTTGTTTTTGGGATGACTCAGGAGCAAACCACTCCCTCGGTCCCTGAATCCACAGCCAACCTCCATGAATCACCGGTCAGCACGTTAACCCGCAACTCCTCGTGCAGGTGCAGTAGACTTTGTTTTTGTTGCACTTGTTTACTAATGAACTGTTTTTTTGTATTGGGTATTTTCTGCTACAAACTGCTGTCAAACTATAAAAAAGATCTGAAGAGTAAAAATCAACAAAAAATTATAATTAGTCCCAAGATTGAAAGTGTGGTATTTGCCTAGAAATATGGATACAGAAATATACATATCTATTTTTGGAAATGCGGATATCAAAGAAAGCAAATATAGTTGAAATAAAAAAATGCAAAATATTGTTATTCTCACCTAAATTTTAAAAACTGAAAAATTGGTCAAATTTACACTGAGAAAAGAAAAAAAAAGCCTTTCCATGAGAAGCTAATTTATTAAGGACACTGTGAAGTTGCATTAAAAAGATGGCTGCACCAGATTTCGCACTAAGCTACTTTCCATCTGTAGTCCTGGACAATAAATACAGTTCAATAAGTGGATGAAAGGAGGCAAAATCTGAGGAACTCTGGTAAATTAAAACTCATTTATTATTTTAAATTGACTTTCATTGTAATATTGAACATGTTTCACTTCATTGACCCAGTGAAACACGCACTTATGATAAAATGTTATCTTGTTGCCTGTATTGTCAAACCTAACATGTAGACATTGGTATGATGATCTGTTTATTATAGTGAAATTGAATGTGTTTTGTATCAAACTCCACATGAAGTGATGTTTGGCTTATTACTATCATACCAGCGTTCATTTTCAGGTCGTAGAAGTCATCCCAACTCGTGTATATGCAACAAACACAAGGACAGCCATATTGAGCAGTGCGGCCGACACAGCTTGAGACTCCTCCACTCACGACATGTCTCTGGCCTTTTGTAAACACATGCTCCTCATTAATATGGAATGTCACTGACCATGTGTCCGGTACAAAGGTTTTCAAGCCTTCAATAAAACTGTAACTGAGGAGTCTGTGTGTGTTGTTCAGGGTCAGCAGCGGCCCTCTGTCTCTGCTGGACTTCAAGATGATGGCGGTACTCGGCAGGGGCCACTTTGGCAAGGTACGTCATAATTATATATTTGTGTATACTGTTTTTTTTTTTTAACAGAACTCTATCAACTTTGGGCATATCGTAATGTATTCCTGTAAATGCATTATGGGTCTTTTTTAGGCAATGGGTAAACAAGCTTTCTATAGTTTACAAAGGTCCTCCTGAGGGCTTTTCTCTGATACATTAAGAGGAAAATTGTGCCTTGCCTTTACCGTGGCCCTAAAGCAGAACTTTTTAGTAAGAGGGCCACTTTAGTTTAACCAGACTTGTGGCCGACACCCCGGATTTGACTGGACTCAGGCTGTTCTGGACTTTCAAATGGGGTTTGATTCACACCACAGCAACTCTAGCTATGGAATTTTGTGAGCCAATCAAAGGGACTGAGCTTTACAATGAGGTATAGCATGACTGTATTGGTGGAGCTGCAGTTGGCTGGATGACACAGTGAACGTTCCGCGATGGCTACTTTGTGTTAGCAAGGCAGAGGGCCACATAATCTGACACAATGGGCTGCATGTGGCTTGTGGGCCTTAGTTTGGACACCCCTGGTCTATAGATACATATGTACTGTATGTATAGCTATAAAAAGCAATTTCCTAGTTTGTGACTTTGTGTTACTCACATGACACTTAAATAATTCTGATTCTGATCGTTGGAGCCGTCCCATTGTGAACAGAAAATAATTCATGCATATATTTTGTGATGGATCAGTCAATCAATTAAGTTTAGGATTTTCCAATATTTGTGTGGGTAAGTAAATGTATGTCAATAGGGATTTCCCAATTTTACATTTTAGAGTATTGTCTATAAAGTATTGTGAGAAAAAAACACCAAAATGTCACAAAATCAGTATTAATCAGAACTTTAGGTCTATTTAGGTCTATGTACTAAAAAGCAATTTATTATTGCTTTTTAGTACATCTATTTATGTTTTTAGACACATTCTATTTTAATTTATTTTTATTATTTACTATTTTAATTTATTTTTATTATTTACTATTTTTAATTATTTATTGTATCTACCCATTTACTATTGTTATTATTAATATTAGGCAGCTGCCATTTTTCTTTTTATTGTCGCATTTTATTGTTCTACTTTCTATTGTATTATTGTATTGTTTTAGTGTCCCCAGTGTTTCCTCTGGAGGAGCCCTCTGCACTGAGAGCTGGGGTCTGCTGCGGCTTCGGGGGTCTGGCTCTTGGATCCGGTGGGGGTCTGGGGCCTCCTCTCTCCTCTGGGTCCTATGGGGTCTGAGTCCTGGGCCTGGTGGGGTCTGGGGCCCCTCTCTCCTCTGGGTCCTGTGTCGTTCCCTGTGGCTGCAGCCTGCTCTCTGCTCCTGGTGCAGATGGCTCCTTGGATGACGCTTCTTCAGCCGGTTACATCTGCTCCCAGCCCCATGTCTTTTTATTGTTTTACCTATTTTACCTGATATGACTTTATACTTGTGTGTGTGTGTGGGTGTATATGTGTGTGTGTGTGTGTATACGCATGTGGTTGTATATATAATTATAAATGTGGTTTTGGGGGGGTCTGTGGGGAGGAGGGTTTAGGGCTGGGCATGTTGGATTGTTTTTAACTAAACTGTAAAGCACTTTGTGTTACACTTTTTGTATGAAAAGCGCTTTATAAATAAAATTTGATTGATTGATTGATTGATATTGTCTGATAGGTAAATGACAAAAGTAAGCAGTATTCATTTTGACTTCAGTCTTCTCTCTGTAAATACTGTATGTAACCAACTTCTTCAAATAATGTGCACAGCTTTAGTATTCCCATAGAAACAGATTGGGAAAATATTCCATACAAAAGTATAATTTTATCTATATCTTTGTGACGATTATATTATGGTCTGAATAATCCTGGTTGTTGACCCACTAAATCATATTAAAAGCAAGTTCAAAATGTATATAGTGTTTATTTACAAAAAGGGTAGAAAAGGGCAAGGCCAGATCATTTGATGCACACACTTCATACACAAAGCAAAGTGTTTTACTACACAAGAAATGAACCAGTGAAAAGTAAAAACAAATAAAATTTTCAAACTATTGTTCGCCCCATTCAGTTGGTAGAGCATTGGCCTTTGAGTCTGAAGGTCGTGGGTTCGAGCCCACCGTAAGACCTACTTCACGACTCCCACTGATGACTGCTGTCATTGTGTCCTTGGGCAAGACACTTAACCTAACTTTGCCTGAAGCTCCCACTGAAAGATCTCAGCTCCTGTGGACTCACCACCTGCAGGAGGATCAGTGAGGGGCTGGTGCTCTGTGACTGGGTGCAGCTCTGACTGCCACCCCCCCGACCCAGAAATGGATTAAGGGAAAGAAAATGGATGGATGGATGTTCCATCGCACTGAACGGTCTCTTTTGCGCAGGTGCTGCTGTCGGAGTACAAACGCACGGGCAGTCTCTACGCCATCAAAGCGCTGAAGAAAGGTGACATCGTTGCACGAGACGAAGTGGAAAGGTAGAGTTCAGTGGCCCTCGGTGAGAAAAGGTTTAGAGGAACGTCCTAATGGCAGCTTTTGTGTCCTGTGTGTCCAGCCTCATGTGTGAGAAGCGCATCTTCGAGGTGGTCAACAGCTCGCGTCACCCGTTCCTGGTGAACTTGTTTGGCTGCTTCCAAACGCCGGAGCACGTGTGTTTCGTGATGGAGTACACGGCCGGAGGAGACCTGATGATGCACATTCACGCCGATGTCTTCTCGGAGCCTCGCGCTGTGTACGTTTTGCCGCTCTCTCTCTTGCCTTTGACTCCTGATTTTCTTCTATTCATTTTAATTTAATGTATTTTTGTGTAGCCCTAAATCATGTCTCGAAATGTGCCAATAACAGATCAGATAATGAAATAGTTTGAACACAGGAAATAGGAATAACAAACACATATGAGCTAGCCTGGCCTTAGCCGTCTGTAAACTCTGGTTGATTATCATATCCCTATAAGTACGAAATGAAATGAGTACGATGGTATGGTGAGTGCATTATATTCACTTCAATTCAGCCCGAAGTGTCAAATTATGACTCACAGGGCTCAAGTAAGTATGCAAAGTGTATCGTAAGATAATCTTTTACAAACAAAATGATAAAAATATTCATGAAACAAAAAGGTGACGTACCCTTTATCTCTCCCACTGCTCTGTCCTGTGTGTTCAGACCGACATTTCCTCTGTGGAAAGAATAAAGATTCTCTTATCTCAAAGGGATGTGTTTGTGTATTTTAACATGGCTCTTTCTCCATTGTAGCTTCTACTCTGCGTGCGTGGTGCTAGGGCTGCAGTTTCTACACGACCATAAGATTGTTTATCGGTAGGTCCTTTCTGTTTTTAAAATCAGTTAGTATTACATGTTAAGCACATACAGTGGTGGAGTGAATTATTATGAGTAAAACACGTAAATCTCATTGTACTTGATTTGACCAAGTACAATGATATGTGTTATGAAAACATTACACTAAAGCTGTGATATAAATGACATGTTTTTCTTCTATTCTATTCTATGTGAGGCTAAATGTATTTATTCATGTATTTATGTATGTATTTATTTATTTGAGAAAGAGGGAACAATACATATTAATGAAGACTAACAATGAAATGTTTCCTTTCTTCTGCAGGGATCTTAAACTGGACAATCTGTTGCTGGACACACAGGGCTTTGTGAAGATCGCAGACTTTGGACTCTGTAAAGAAGGTCCTTGTCCATTTGTTTCTATGTCACCTGCACTGACCTAACGTACAATGAATGATGGTCCTCTAATGTCCTTTCTCTTCCTCTCTCTTTCTCAGGCATGGGTTATGGAGACCGGACCAGCACTTTCTGTGGGACTCCCGAGTTCCTGGCCCCAGAAGTGCTAACAGACACGTCCTACACCAGGGCTGTGGACTGGTGGGGGCTGGGGGTGCTGGTGTACGAGATGCTGGTCGGAGAGGTGTGTGGAATATTTTGTCTTTTCGCTCACATATTCATTGTAAGCAGCACACATTCACACCTCTACAGCGATCTGAATATGTGTGACTCAGTGAAAATCCTTTCTTACCGTGCCTTCTTCTCCAATTCGTTCCTCTCAGAACAGAGATAACCAGCACTACTTCAGCCTCATCGTTTCCATAGTTTTGTATCGTCTCTCCTCAAATTATGAACAATTCCATCATTCTGTCTCACACACTGACAAGACTGCGAGCACACCACCGCTTGCGATGCATAACAATGAAATCTGATATTCTGTCATTTTAGATTACATTAGATTAAACTTTATTGTCATTACAAAGTCAGAACAATGCAAAAAAATGCAGTTTAGCATCTAACCAATAGTGCAAGAGCGCAAGTATAGGATAATGTTTACAACATACAGTACCAAAAGTTTGGACACACTTTCTCATTCAATGAGGTTCCTTTCTTTTCATGACTATTGACTGTAGATTCACACCAGGCTGTGTAAGGGCTATTTAACCAATAGTGATGGGTGCCGGGCCAGATGACCTGGCCTCCACAGTCACCGGACCTGAACCCAATCCAGACGGTTTGAGGTGAGCTGGACCACACAGAGAAGGCAAAAGGGCCAAGCATCTCTGGGAACTCCTTCAAGACTGTTGAAGACCATTTCAGGTCCTCTTGAAGCTCATCAAGAGAATGCCAAGAGTGTGCGAAGCAGTAATCAGAACAAAAGGTGCTTCTTTGAAGAACCAAGAATATAAGACATATTTTCAGTAATTTCATACTTTTTTTTAGTACGTACATAATTCCACATGAGTTAATTCATACTTTTGAGGCCTTCAGTGTGAATCTACAATTTTCATAAACATGAAAATAAAAAGCTCTTCAAATAAGAAGGTGTGTCCAAACTTTTGGTCTGTACTGTAGATCAATATATTTGCATCTATGTGAGACGGTACAAGCTACTATTGCTAGTATATACATTCATTATATCATATTGCATTGAAGTGCATCTAATGGTATTTAACAGGGCGAAGGCTCAGGAGTGTGACTGCTCTGTGATAAAAAAATAAAATAACATAAAAATCTGTCTTTAGTCACTGTGCTAGTCCCTTTCCCTACTGCTATTATTACTATTGTGTACTCCAGTCATTCCCTGCTGCTAAAGTACAAAATTAACATCTGTAAATACCTCCACTAGTATACTATCCTTGAACCAAGTGCAATTATAGCTCCAGAGTTTTTATTTTACTGTACTCTCTCATTATTTTATGTTATTATCTATTATCTCTTTGATGTGTTCAACCTGAGTGCTCCTATTTCCTCCCTTCTTTCTGCTGTAATGTGCTCAACGACCGTGAGACAAATAAAAGATGATCTTATGTTGAAATCTGCCTGTGCCAGTCTCCGTTCCCAGGTGATGATGAGGAGGAGGTCTTTGACAGCATCGTGAATGATGAAGTGCGCTATCCGCGGTTTCTCTCCACTGAGGCCATCGGCATCATGAGACGGGTGAGACACATTCACACGTCCAGCCGTTTCATTGTATCCAACACCAAAGACAAATGACGCACAAGTCTGTAGCCGTGTAACACTTCCTGACAAAGAGTAGAGTTTGGATGGCCTTTAAAAGTGAACGTGAAGGCAGTTATGAGTAGTGCATTTAAAGCAGGGGTATCTAACTTTCTTTTACCATGAATAATCCAACAGTAAGAGTCTTGTGTTGTGAACAAATCGGATCAAACGTGTTCTGTGTTTTCTCGCACACTTAACAATTTGATGTTTTTGGCTGACGGCTGATTGGCTGAATGAGAGAGGTCTTTTTGTCTTTTCTGTCTGAAAAAGAGGTGACAGAAAACGTGACAGAGGTCGAATACATTCATGTGAGATAATAGGGAAAGAACCAATTTTTTTTTAGAGCCAGGAACTAATTACATGGATCACTGCACATATGGTAGTTCAATTTTCTTGTGGTTTGAAAGTTAAGATTAGGATTAAGAGATCTTTCATTTGTCCCACATTGGGGAAATTTGTTGCATCACAAATTACAAAACAGGATTGAGTAGCACACAACACACATGTGTAATTTAGTCTTTTCTTTACCATACCATACCGTCTTTATTTATAAAACACTTTTAAAAAACTTTACAGTTCAGCCAAATGCTGTACACAAAAAACAAACACATAGACTAAAAAGACATATATAAAACAATATTACCTAAGATCAAACATTGTCAAAAGCAAGTGAAAAAAGATGAGTTTTAAGAAGTGACTTAAAAACAGGCAGAGACTGAGCCTGTCTAATCTCGATGAGTAACTGATTCCAAAGACGTAAACTAACAATTTTAAAGCTGGTTTATATGACCAAATTACTATGGCTGAAATTTAGCCCTTATTTTGCCAAATCTAGTTTACAAAATTAATCACAAAATCTAGCAAAACTGCAATACATGTTACAAATACAGAACTGTAAAAGTATATACACAGTATTTACATACAACGCAATTGTCCAATATTCATTTTGCACTCATAGAATATAGGCTCAACATTTGTACCATAATGTTTGTTTTTAGTTTTGCTATAATTGACAATATTATTATTACTGCAGAAGTAGTCTCTTCTTGCGCTATATATTTTTCTGTGACATTGGACTTTTAGGCTTTTTTTTATGTGTGAATAGAGCTGGAACTTTTGAAAGCGTCCTCAGGGCCGTTCCAAAGAACAATAGAAATGCTTCTTTTGATTTTGTGTGATTTGAGTCATTATCTATTGTCAGCTGCTGAGAAGAAATCCTGAGAGACGTCTGGGCTCTGGTGAGAAGGACGCAGAGGATGTCAAAAAACAGCCATTCTTTCGGGTGAGCAGATAATATTACTAATGTGATGGACCTTCACATAAATTATAACATGTTTACTTTAGTCGTTGCCTATTTCATTTATTTCTTTTCACTCAAACTTTTTAAACACATTTCTATGTTTCAGGGTGTGGACTGGGAGGCACTCCTTCAGAGAAAAGCCCCACCCCCTTTCGTCCCGACCATAAAAGGAAAAGAAGACGTGAGTAACTTTGACCTGGAGTTTACAGCGGAGGCGCCCACGTTAACCCCTCCTCGAGAGCGCCGCACACTTTCCCGCAAAGAACAGGACTATTTCAAGGATTTCGACTATACTTCTGACCTCTGCTAGGGTCAGGCGCTTTCCCACAATCAGCCATAAACTATCATTCCTCTGACGGAAAACTGCTCATGTTTGTTCACTGTTTGAGGCAAGAGATGAGCTCTGGACAGCAGCGGCTTTTTGTGTGGAGGAAGTTGGATTGGACCATAATCCAGATTATGTAACAAGTGGCAGATGTCGTGGTGATTTCTGCCCAGCAACACAGTGTCACGTCCTGTGTCTCTTGTCCCTTTAATCTCTGCTGCCGGTGCTGCTACAGTGTGATATACACATTTACATTGGTCCTACTTCTGTTTAGAATGTATTCAGTGCACTTGCTGACTTTCGCCACAGGGGGGAGCTCAACAATCGAGGATCACCAGTCTGTTCTTGCTTTACCACCATTTAATCTTTTCTGTTTGTGGTACAGACTTTTATCAATCACTCCCTTTTTGATTTATCTTTGTGATCTTCAATTGTGTGGTTTTATTCTATTCATGTGTCAGTTGCTGTTAAGTGTGTCAAAACTGTGACTCAGTAAAAATGTGAACCCCTCCAGTCGAATTGCTTGATCATTTATTCACTTTTGAGGATACTAACAGTAACAATGTGTAATGGTCATCAGTGTATCCATTCTTTGCATTCTTATTTTATTTGTATGATGCGGATTGCCTCGACTGGACATACTGATCGAGTGAACAGTAATTACTTTCAAAAATATATTTTCTGTCTTGTTACATACATCCTAAACCAATGTTCTGGTTCAGGGCAGTGACCCAGCTGTTGACACTAATGGGAAAGTTAAATCATTCCTCAGACTTGATGGACTTGGGTCAGACTGTAGATTTTATTTTATTATATTTCTGCTCAAGAGTAAAAATTCATGATGAGGAAACGGTTTCATCTCAATCAATCTGGATGGTTGGTGGCACTAGGTTTAATCATGCATCATTTCATAGATTACAATAATAGTGGCGATATAAATGAATCATACTATTACAATCAAATGGTTTTTTTTTAGGGACATTGCAGAGATTATCAATAAGCATCTGCACGTGTTGCAAATCGTAGTCACAATTCTTATATAGATGTAATAACGAACATATAAATACAAATTAGTGCAGTCCAGAGTTCTAATGTTATTTTTGTATTTAAAGGTAATGTATTATATCTTGTACAATAATATGTATAAAATTATGTTAGAAGTTGATGAGGTGAGTTAGATAGTATGTATGGCTCTTCATATTTTATTTATTTATTCTTAAGGATAACCCCTTGAGATGAACCATCTCTTTTTCAAGGGGGTCCCTTAAGTTGATGTTTTTGGTTGATTCTATTTCAAAGCCCACAGTGCAGCCTTTAGCAGTCAAAGTCAAAGTTATCTTTATTTTCCCACCGGGGAAATGGGTTTTGCTGCAAACGATCATCTCAAAACAGGCAGACACCGTAAAATCACAACATTGAAGACAACAAGAGATAAGAGAGGATGTCACAAAGCTCGTTTCAGAGCAGACAGGCTGTCAAGTGCAATGGATTGTATGAAGTGCTATGTGTTGTTAAGGTGCTTCACAGCTGTTGGGATCTCAACCCTTTCTCCCGCTTATACCATCATTACATCCTTTTGGGGGCAGCAACACTTGGGCTTCACAGCAAGAACATCCTGGGTTCAATTCCATCCCAGACGGGGAATTTCTGTGTGGAGTTTGCATGTTCTCCCTGTGTCTGCAGGTTTCCCCTTATACCACTAAAAACAGTCTACGAGTGACGCCGTTTCCATCACTGTGGGGAGTGAGAGGAAAAATGTGAAAGACACTTTGAGACTCTGTGAAAGATAATGTATTAAATGAAGATGACTCACTCACTTTTGTAAAACCACTTTCTTTAAAGTAAAATTGCATTAACACGTTATATCTTTATCCATTTCAAATAGTTTGCCCTATGTTATTCAAACTTCTTCCCCACGGAATTAGTGAGAACCCTTGATGTGTCTCTTGTTGGACCAAACTATATTTCAAAGGACCCAATACTATAGTAAGGTGATAATTATGATTGAAACACACATTTTGGGATTTGGGATTTGGGACCCCTGGGTTTGGTGAAGCGCAGCCTGTGGACTCCTCTCCATCAGCACCTGCGTCACCCCATCGTGCGGCCCCTCCCACTGGCCCCAGTCTTTACACACAACTACACCCCCCCCCCCCCCCCCCATGTGTGATAAGACTGTTGTAGAAGGCAATGAAGCTCAACCTTGGTCAATATTCTTCTTTTGACCACGTGCGCGCGCGGATTGGTCACTGAAGCGCGGAGTCAGACAGAAGAGCGCATCTGCAGGTGAGTCCGACTCTATAATATAATATTTACAGTCTATGGTCTGTAGACACTTAAGTTATGTGTAGCAGTTTTGTGATTGTTTTGTTTTTCATTTTAGATGTTTTTACTGCTCTTGAAGTCTAACTCTTTAATAATTTTCTCGACCATTTGGTGGATGACTTTTTGAGTCACTTTATCTATAAACCCGAAGCATGTTTGGATCTGAAATCTACCTCATACCTTGCTTTTAATGTGAAGCGCTTTGTGACCCTGGTCTGAGAAAGGCGCTATATAAATACATTTTACTTACTTTTACTTTTACTTACTCATTGGGGCATCTCCATCAATTGGTTTTAGGGATAGCATACCAAGTTTATCATCAAAATGCATCTCAACCATTTTGTAGAGGCATATAATTGAAAAACTAGGGGTTAAAAAAACAAATACATTGTGCTCATACATCTTAGGATATATCTAAAAAAAATGCATTTCTTTCGTCAAGGAGTGGATTAAAGGGTTAAAGATATGCATGTTTACTCTGAGAACACGTTTGGCTTTATTTTACTGATGAATGTTGTGCAAAATGGTTTAACATGCATAAAGTTCTCATGAAAGTTACAAAGGCATTAATCCAAGGGACAAGGGGGGAAATAATCACTTTATGGATTGGCCAGTTTTGTGCTGGATACAAAATATGTATGTATCACTCAAAACAAGTAGTGCATACATACCTGGAATTCAATCAAAATCATATGTTAAACTTTACATATTTTGATCAAATTTCTGGCTTTATCACAATCAGAATCAGAACTATCTTTATTGTAGTTGTAAGTAACAGGAAGTTTCAAACAAGTAATGTTTTTGCCTCATGGTACAAACAAGTTATAAGTAAAAATAGGTATAAGGCATGCATAAAATAATCTAATCTAAATACACACAACAGACATTTAACAGTGCAGATTAAAGTGACAGTAGCACTAAGTTCATTTCAGGTCTATTAAACAACAAGGGGTTGCTACAATTAATACTATTGTGATTTCTCTCTCATAGTGAATACTGATTGATCACAGAGACTATAAAAGAAAACGTGTCATACTGCTCCAAGAATGATCCAGTCTCATTGTGAACAAAGCTCCCCAACGAGGTCTCTGTGTGTGTTTGGATGGATTCTTCTCGCTCTTCTCACACGGGAAACAACTGGTAAGATCATACTTAAGTCACATATTACTGACTTTTAACTCATTTGTGAAGCCTTGTTGTGTCCTCAAAAACTACCAATAAGATGTTGTTGTAGTGATGAGAGGATGAAACCAGAAATATGGCTTCACTGATGCTGACAGAGTATCCAGTATATTAAAAGTATCCAGATACAAAACACTTTATATAACTGCTGCGGCTGTTAAGTGTCAAACTGTTGTGGTGTCCTTAGGCAAAACACTTCACCCTCATTGCGTAGAATGACTCAGGTGTGTGTGTGAATGGCTGGTGATGGCTGAAGGGGCCAATGACACATACTAGTGGCCTCGCTTCTGTCAGTGTGCCCCAGGGCAGCTGTGGCTACTGTAATAGTTTATCACCATATGTATGGAGTGAAAGCATAATGACATATAAAACCATCCATTCATCTATTTTCTTCCTCTCAATCCATTTCTGGGTCGGGGCAGTCAGCGCTGCATCCTGAGCACCAGCCCCTCACTGATCCTCCTGCAGGTGGGGAGATGGCTGCTCTGTTGTTGACGGCACAATCTTGATCTTTCAGCGGGGGCTTCTGGCAAAGTGGGGTTAAGTGTCTTGCTTTATTAGTATTATCCCGCCACCAACAAGCTACAGAGTTCAGAAGTCAGAAAAAAAAAAAAATTCAGTGACGGTTGGTTTTACAATGTGGTGAAACATATGTCTTTCTGATGAAAGCACGATTCTCATACAAACGTTTATTTTGTACTTAATACATCATTGAGACAGAGGAAACATACACTGTGGAAGAAGAAGAATCACCTCTCTCTGTATTGTAACATTGAGCTAATACAAAGAATAACTGACCTAAACCAAGTGAAAATATGAAATTGTATGTTTTTGTACACTACTTACACCATTACTACACTTACAGTTAAAACCAAAAAACTTATGGAACACGATTTGTATCATGTTATTAAAAGCCCTTCTCGCTCCAAACATCTTATTTCAAAGATTATAAATGTATTCAATAATGGAATCAGGCCAAGTACAGTGAAGATCAGAAACACATGGAGTGAGGATCTTGGTGTTGAACTGTCTGAACGTGTGTGGGATAAATGTTTATCTAAGATTCACTCTTGTTCTATTAACAGCAGACATCAATTAATACAATTCAAAATTGTCCATCGTTTACATTATTCTAAATTCAGATTGCATAGAATTTATTCCCACAACGTCGCCCATTTGTGACAGGTGTAAACTCATCAGAGAGCACCCTGGCGCATGCTTTCTGGTCCTGTTCTTCATTGTACAGCTTTTGGGGAAAAGTGTTCAACTGGTACTCCAAAGCATATGGGATAAATGTTTCCCCTGAACCATGTCTTGCCATGTTTGGACTCTCGGACAATAAGAACTTTCCAGCTATAATGCAGACACCATTGGAACTGGGGACGATGGTTGCAAAAAAACTTATTCTAAGGGAGTGGAAATCCTCTGCTTCTCTATCGTTTAAAGTGTGGCTCTCTGAAATGCTCCTATTGATAAATATGGAGAGGATGAGGTCCTTACAGTCCTGTTCGATCAATAGATTTTCTAATATGTGGGATCCATTTATGGCTCATCTTGAAACAAGTAATTTTGACTAGTACTGTGTCATTACTATATTTCCTTCCTATTATTTTTATTATTTTTGTATTTGTCAACATGTAGAACTGCCAAATATTGATGCACCTGAGCCTGTTTGTCTGTTAACATTTTAAAAACCAAAATAAAATATTGAAAAAAAAAAAAAAACCAAAAAACTTTGCTAAACGCTACTCTTAAGGAGTCAACAAAGGCATTCACATTTATGCTCAACCTAGACCCGGAAGTGCTGTGTTTAAATAAAGTCAATCTGTCCCAGGGCAGTGGTGGCTACAGTCATTGTTTACCATCACTGTGTGTGGAGTGAATGAATTATAGTAAAAAAAACTATATAAAATAGTTGAAATATTCAACACAGCTTCACCACGACCTGTGCCTCTTGTGTCGGCTCCACAGCTCAGTGCGCAGTGGGACCGGCCCCCGGCTCACACCCGGTCCGTGGGCTCCTGGAGCGATACGAGGCAGGACCAGGCTGTTCGGCCCGAGAGAGTGGCCCCAAAGAGACCCATGTGATCGCAGTGGGACGGGCCTCACACAGCACTGAGAACAAGGTCAATATGTGTTAAGATCAAGATTCAGAGATCCTTTATTCATGAGGAAATGTCAGTGTTTCATCACCAGAAAGACAGTAGAGAACCCAGCACGAGGAAAATGAACGCAGCTAAACTCTATACTACACTCTCTACTAAATTAAATAACATCAAATCAAATCACTAGCTTTAGCACAATAAGGAAACCGTCTATAATCTATAATAACAAGCAAGAATTAAATCCGAAATCTGTGTTGTCTTCCTTTGGATAAGTCTGTGTTTTGTTTTGATCAGGTGGCCGTGCTGCTGACGCCGCTCGCCTCCGGACCCCTGCGGATCATCCAGCTCCTGCTCAGCTCCAAACAACCTGTGATCTGGTGCTTAGAGGGGGGCGCGCTGCTTCCTTCTGTGACAGTCATGGTGCAGGTCAGAATACTTATGGCTTTCAATCATCATCATTATCATCATCATCATCATCATCATCATTTCTTTATTCAGATTCGAGGTCCTTAAAACAAGCAAATGTTTTGTTACATGATTCACATGAAAAACAGAAGATAAAAGATGGCTATTCCAGTGTTTCTATAAAGGACACTGGTAATGATTTTATATTTCTAAAAGGTAATGAAAAGGACATATTTTCTAAATTTTTAATCTCTCTGTCACAAACATCCACGTGGCACATGCTATTATGAAGTGATAAGCCACAATTTATTATGCAATCATAACAGTCCTAAATTACCACCCATTTCTAAATCAAGAGTATGTTTAGACGCAAAGAAAAATAATCATGTTGTGGTTCTACATTATCCTGATGATAATATTGAAATTGTTGCGAAGTCATACTAGAATTGGAACGAATAGTATGTCTTCCAAACACCTATTTACAAATAAAACATTCAGACGTATTCTTTCCAACGCTGCGTACACAGTTTAAAGCTTCTGCGTTTTTTTCCTTTGTTTTTTTTCTCCATTATTTTTGAGTTTACTTAATCTCAACAGAGGCCTTCAGAAAGATGTTTTGACGCAAACAGGATAGATTTCCACATTATCGTCTGATCAATAATAGTTCTTTAGGCGCCAAAGTAGCAGAGACCTGGCTCCCTGGTTTCCTTCAAATTCTTTCCTTACAATTTTCGTACTTCTTTTTCTTTTCTTTATTCATGTTATTGATTTTAGTCGTCCTCTATCTCTAAGAAAGTTTCACCCTTTGGCTATTTCACACTCAATTACTGAAAAAACTTGTGTGCCCATTACATTTTTGTCAATATCTCCATGGTGCAGGGTGGGTGGCACTCATGCTTTGGGTTCGATTCCTGTGTGGAGATCACATGTTTCTCCTCGTGTATGGGTGGGTTTCCTCCGGGCGCTCCGGCTTCCAAAACCTCCAGCTCTGGTAGTCCAGACCAAGCTGGCCATCGACATCTTGAGATGGGTCCATGGGTTTTGCCTTTGTGACAGTGAAGAATGGGTCAAATGCAGAGGGTCTAAGGACAGTGAAGATCTGGGATATCTATGGACATTTAAGGACATTTATGGACATTTAAGGACATTTATGGACATTTAAGGACATTTTTTTTATATTAATGGGTATTTATGGACTTTTATGAACATTGGTCATTCCGCCCCCTTTGGACCTGTTGAAAGGTTTGATTCTCTGATCTGTTGTTGGTGAATAACAACTTTATAAAGTCCTCTGAGACGACTGCTGTTGTGATTTAGGGCTGTTCAAAAACAGATTAAATTGAATTGAATGAAACCTTAAACTAAACCTTTGAGAGCTGTGTGCTTTTTGTTCCCAGATGTCGTCCCACTCCTCGATGCGGGCCGGCTCTGTGGAGGTGCAGCTTCAGAAGATGCCCTCGCTGCCCTTTCGCCCTCGCGCTCTGCACCGCTGGGCTTTGAGGCGCCATGGAAACATCACCTCCATGATACACTCTGCACACAGCAACCACGTTTATATCAAACTGGGACAAGGTGAGATGTTCGTTCGTCTTCCGTGTGATAAGACAAACATCTTAAGGACAGATGGAGATGTGTACTTCAGCCACAAGGTCTGGATTTAACAGAAACATAATGTTGTTTATTTTTGTCCATGTCCTTGAACGCATATGCTGAAGATTCTTGATAGAAGACACAAGGTTCCTAAAATTCAAACATGTATTTTGTGAAGGTCAGTGCCTTAAGATTAGAGCTGGCGACTGTTAGTGTTGCTCTATGGCAGGGGTGTCATTTTGGTCGGGGCCAAGTTTCAAAACATAAGAGCTGGTTGTGCGCAAAAGAATACAAGTGGTTAGTGGTTCTCATTACTTTTTATTATTATTATTTTTCTACATATTATTGTTTTTTGAAAAATGTATTTTATTTGACATGAGTTTGGATATTATTTTCTGGTAGGTTTGGATTCAACTTCAACTTAACTTCTACATGTTAATTAACATTTTAGAACAGATTAAGCTATGTGGTTGTTTTCCTGATAAAAATTATAAGATGCCAAAGTAGCCCATTACCATCAACGCTGCAAATTACTGTAATATTGGTAATTATGATAAAAATAATAAAAGCATTTCAGGGGCCATTAAAAATTGTTTTGCGGGCCAGATTTGTCCCACAGCCTGAGTTTGCCAAGCCTGCACTAAGGAGAAATCCCACAGTATGGCATTAATAAAACACCTATTATTACAAGAATGGAAGATAGAACATTTTCAACTGAGGACATTTTTCTCATACAAAATATACACACTAATGTGAATCACTATAGTAACTGTCCCACCCACTTCCTGGTTCCACAGATAAAAACGGCATGCATTTCCCACACACCATACACAGGCTGGTAAGTGTGCGCGCTCTACTGTATATATGGCAGTGTGCGTTCTTTGGCTGTGGCACAAAAAACAGCATTATTATTGACACATTAGTCCCAACTAAGATTATGGTGCATATTTTTTTCCTTTATAAATTGTATTAGCTGTAATTTTAATGCATAGGAAATGAGACGTGGACTCCAGGGCGTGGACTTGGACTTGACTTGGACTTGCGGGACAGAGACTTGTGTGCATCTATACGAAAATCATTATCGAATAGTATTAGAGCTTTGTCAGAACTCTGTTAAAACACACATCTAGTAGCTCCACTAAAGTTACAATTGGCCTCTTTCACACAGCCTTAACAGAACCATGTTGCCGTTTGGTTTTTGTTCCAGACCTGAACCAGTCTTTTTCCTGTCACCTGGTGTCGGCCTTCCTCTCTAACAAGTACATGATCTCCGACGTTCAGCCGCAGGAAGTCCAGAGCTGCTCCCTCACGCCTGCCCCGCCTCATAGTCCTGAAGTGCACATTATTAAACTCCATTCTGCTGGTTCTGGCCTTTGTGGGTGAGACATGACTAACCACATGTGTCATGAAATCAAGAAAGTAAGAAAACCTCAGAGAAATCCTTCAAACTAAACATTGTCCTTTGTGCGTGGCATTCACAGCTCTCTACAGGTGGAGGTGGTGGTCTCACTCATACCCTCGGTCCAGTCCAGGAGTCACAACATTGTGCTAATTATCAGCAGCTCGGTGCCTGTTAACTGGGCCATTGTTGCAAAAGGAATCCAAGGCCGTGTGGATATTTATGTAAGTGCTATCTCTAATCACAAGCTTTGCGTTTGTCTAAAGCAGTGTAATTCTTCAAAACATTATTACTACTACTGATACAAATGCCATCCAACAAGATTCACAGACCTAAATATTCCATGTTCTACCAATCACTGTCATGTCAGACTAATGGATCTTAATATACAGTAAATGTTAATTACTAAACCTTAAAATGTTATAGATGATGTCTTCAATTGTATTATGCATATTCTTGACCATATGACATTCAATTTTTATCCATATTCATATATTTCAAATAGTCCCTCCTCTTGGAAAAACAACAAACAGTATTTAGTGGAGGGAGAATTTAATTTAATTTGAATTTAGTGGATTTGAATTGATATCATCCAATCAGGAAGCTGTGAGGGTGAAATTTTCTCTGTAATTCAGCATAAAACAAAATCTGTCAGAGTTCCACATCATCTTTGTCAGAAAACAATGGTCAAATGTAAAAAGGTTCCTCAAAGGTGTCTAGATGGGGGTTAGAACTTAAAAACACAAATGCCAGTGGAAAGGACTTACAGATATGAGAATCAGAATTATTTTCTTGCCATGTGAGTCACAAACTAAGAAATTGTTTTGGGTCTCAGTACAAACCAGTTAAAGTAGAGGGAATAGGCGAGTTTCTGAATCAAATCCCAATCAAAGAATGACCTGGAAAAACATTTGGATTTTATTTTTCAACGTTTCTCTAAGAGTTTCTCTCTAAAAGTTGCTTCTTTTCCATACAGTTATTTTGGTATCTGCCCTGAACTAATCAATGCAACCTATTGATTTACATTTCCAAATACAGGTTTAGAGATGACAGTAAAGTGCATTTCTTTTGTGCCTTTTTCCCCTCAGTCGTCAAACAGTGTGTCCGCTCCCTCTCCCTCTGAGCTGAACCTGAGCGTGTCCAGCAGAGTCCACATGGAGCTGGCCTCGGTGTCAGACCTGCTGGTCTGGGCCAAGGACAAAGGTTTCCCCTCCGTCACCTCCTACACTGAGGCGGATCTGGCCAACCGATTCAGGGTGCACCTCACCAGGCCTGGGACAGGTCAGGAACTCTTTAGAGGTCTTTAGAATGATGTTCTAAAAGTGACGTGTGTGTGTGTGGGTTTGTGCATGTGTGTCTGTGTGTCTATGTTCATGTGTGTGTGCGTGAGTTCAGTATAAGAATGTATGAAAGTGAAAAATGGGGGCTGGGTGGTTTTATTTTATTACAACCTGTGGTCTGATAATGTATGGTAATGTATCCATCTACTTCTATTTTACTGTTTTACAAGAACCTGCTCAGGGACTACAGGTGTAAATTAGCACTGCTGCTACAACCTGGTACAAAGCATCTCTCCTTTTGGCTAATGTTTACTGTACACTGTCCCTGTAAAAAATAAAAACCATACCATACCATACATTGTTCTTGTTCAGGTACAACTCATGATGAATCTCCTGTTGAATTGTAATTGAAGTGATTTGTGTCTGTTTTGTCTTCAGAGGGGGCTGCTCAGGGGCGGTGGGCTACCTGGCTGGAGGAGCACTGGCCTAGGCAGCGGCTCAGTGATTCTGATGCTGGAGATGGGAATAGTTTCACCGTGAGCTGTGATGACGGCCAGCTGAGAGTGGCAGTGGACCAAAGCATTCTGCAGGTCTCTGAACCATTTACAAGCACCAAGTCCACTCTAGAAGGGGACTGGTTCATGCCACATTTGGAGAATTCTAATCATGATACCACTTTTTGATGTTAGTACTGAATAATAATAATAAATATAATGATACATCAAACTTCTATATTGGTTTTTGGACACTCAAAGACGCTTTACAAAACATATACAATAAACATAGAAGAGCATAATTAGGGAAAATCAAGCTGAAACAGATGGGTTTTGAGAAGTGATTTAAAGTTCTGCAGTGAGTTGGAGTTTCTGATGGGTTGTGGGAGTGAGTTCCAGAGAGCGGGGGCAGCTGTGGCGAAGGCTCGGTCCCCCAAGGTTCGGTATTTAGTCCTGAGGGGAGTGAGGAGGTCTCTGTGGATCTGAGGCGGCAGCAGGGACAGTGATGATGGAGGAGGTCAGTGAGGTAAGAGGGTGACAGGTTGGGAAGGGACTTGTAGGTGAGAAGGAGGATCTTGTATTTTTTGCGGTGATGGACAGGGAGCCCGTGGAGTTGTTTGAGGATGGGGGTGATGTGGTCTCTGGAGCTGGTGTGGGTGAGCAGGTGGGCAGCAGAGTTCTGGATGTATTGTAGTTTTTGTAGATGAGTAGAAGGGAGACAGAAGAGGAAGCTATTGCGGTAGTTGAGTCTGGAGGTGAAGAAGATGTGGATGAGAATTTATGCAGTGGACTGAGAGGGAGGGCAGATGTTGTGGAGATATACAAATGATATTTTGGAGATGAGGTGAATGTGTCCATAATAACGCAGAGGTTGCGCACAGAGGGTTGATTGTGTGGCCGTCAGTGTTGAGGGAGATGTTTTGAGCAGAAGGAAGCAGTGACTTGGGTCTGTGATGAGAAATTCTGTTTTATTGCTGTTTAGTTTTAGAAAATTGTGGTCCATCCAGAATTTGATTTCGGCGATCCAGTGTGTGATGGTGGAGAGGATGACTGAGGAGATGGATTTGGTGGAAATGTTGACCTGGGTGTCGTCGGCGGAGCAGTGAAAGTGGAGTCCATGGTGGCGAATGATGTGGCCGAGAAGAAGCATGTATATAATGAAGAGGAGAGGGCTGAGTACTGAACCTTGGGGAACACCAGGGGAGGTGTGGGACGTGCAGTTGTTGATGGAAACATAATGATGACGTTCAGAGAGGTAGGAGGAAAACCAGGAGAGAAGTGTCTGAGATGCAAATTGACTGCGGAGAGGTCAAGGAGGAGAATAGAAAGAGAACCGGAGTCAGCTGCAAGGAGAAGGTCGCTGGATACTTTTAACAGTGCTGTTTCAGTGCTGTGATGGGGCAGAAACCGGATTGGAATAATTCAAAGAGGGTGAAGGTGTGGAAGTATTGTTGGACTTGGGTGATGACGACACGTTCTAGGATATTTGACAGGAGGGGGAGATTTGAGATGGAGCGGAAGTTGTCCAGGTTTTTGGGGTCCAGGTTGGGTTTTTTGAGGATCGACTTGATCGTGGACATTTTTCGATTACGAGAGACAGTACTGGTGGTGAGGGAGGAGTTTATGAGGTTCGTGATGAGTGGGGTTAGGACAAAGCCTAAATGGTAACTTAATTCATACTCAGAATTCAAAAGGCAAACCAAGGTCTTAAAACACACACATTCATTGTTGCAGGGAATGATACTGTATAATTTTTTCTTTCTTCCAGAGGTTTTCTGTACCTTATGCTGCTGTAACGTTTCGAGACCTGACTTGCCAGGCCCAGTCCAACGGGAGCCATTTCCTGCTGGTATTCCCAGTCATTTCCTGTCAGACAGAGGGAGACCTCCTGGGACACTCAGGAGGAGTGCAGTACAATAACACGGTCAGAACTTTCACTATTTTGTTGTCCTTAAACCATACACCATACACACATTGTTCACGTAGTGTTCATGTGCCCACACTCCATAGTATTTCAGGAGAGAAGCAGCATCTTCCCTTTTAAGATTGCAACTGCTGCTGTTAAAGACTATTCCGATTAACAGTGTTTTTATGTTCAGGACAAATCTCTTCTCTCTTTTGTTCATTATGGACATGTACCACAAATGACCAGTGTCATCTTGACCAGCACAGCACTTTGCTGCTCCCTATAAATAGAAGTCAAATAAACGAGGAAAGAAATTGGCCAAGCTGAGTACTGTGTAATTTCAGTGAGATTGGAGGGAGTGCAGAGGGAGGCACGATAATGAAGCACACTGAGCAGCATGTGCAAGCTCAAATGAGCCTGATGTCATGACTGCTATCAGCTTGTTGATGGAACAAGTCAAAAAAATATATTCACACTTCCAGGTTTTCTTCTGGAAAGAGAAGCCGACCACTCTGGATTTCAATGAGACTGACTTGAGGTCCAAAGGTGCACTTAGCATCCATGTAAGTCCTGTAATCCTTCTTTCCTGCATTAATCTCAGTGATTACGTAACAGAGGGAATAGCATTTCTACCTTTGCTTAGTGATATAAACCTTCATAATTTTTGACATTTTTTTCTCCCAGTTCTCTTGCTTGGCCCCATCTCCCATCCTCACCTCAAATGGGGACGTTGAGGATGAGAGCCCTCCTCTAGTTATGGCTCCTTGGCCTCCGCAGGGGTCAACATCAGAGGAACAAATGGAGTGGCCGTCTCCCAGACACAGGCCTGGGCCTGTGCTCGCCATGAGGCTTTTTATGTCTGACACGTTTGAGGAAACGAGGATTGGTCCATGTGTGATCACCGCAGAGCACCGCGTGTACGCTGAGGTGGGTGGATGGAAACCATTGGTTCTGTGTGGACCACAGGTGTGAAAATTATCTATTGAACTGGTGTAGAGTTTGCATGTTCTCCCCGTGTCTTCTCTGGGTGCTACCAAAAGAGACCTGTCCAACAGTTGAGGGTGAAAGAATGTGTTTGTGAGTAAGACTGTGGGATAATGGAGAAAAAATATCCCAAGGTTACAATCTGGCTACAATGCTCTTTTTGTGAGTGGGTCATTTTGCATCAAAACATATCTAAGGTTTAGAGAGACATTTACCATCCACCATCCAAATAATCCAAATCTTTGAGTCAGAATTTAACTGATGTGGACAAGTCAAACATCCTAATTGTAGGCAGACTGTTTTTTTTTTTTTTAAACATGCAAAAAGTACCAAGAAATACTCAATATGTATAAAATAAAAACCATGCAAACCAAAAACACATGAAATGGTGATTTGTATTTATTTAATCTTGTGTGTGACAGACATGTTTATATCCTGCAGATTTCAGTCAAAGGAGCCTCTGCCGATTTGATTGAAGTCAAGTCATGCATCATCTCACCACTGTCAGATCCAAAGAAGTCCCCGTTCTGGAGCGTTATCTGGGATAGCTGCTCCTCTGATGACTCGCTGAAACTTCACCCCATCATTAAACTTGACAATAACAGCACAGAGGTTGAACATAAGAAAAAGGAGATTGTGAAAAGTCAAGGAGATGTTGAAGGGACAGAGAAGAGTGGTCCTACAGTGGATGAGCAGAGGCTGAGGTTCAGTTTCATCATGAGAGCGCAGTACAATGAGTCCATGCAGTTCCTCCACTGCAGCCTGCTCCTGTGCAGCTCCCACGTCACCAGAGGAGCCTCCAGAGCAGAGCCGCTGGGCTGTGCGGCTGGGACGCCGATTCCTCCTTTGGGTTCTACAGCAACCACACACCAGGTAATGACCCCAAACACTAGTGTTCCACAAACTTTTTGAGCCGTGGCACAATCACTTGGCACACCACCAACCTAATCCTAAACAGACATGAAACCCTACAGTCTGTATTCACAAAGTAAAGCATCTCTGAGTGTCCAAAAAGCAATATATAAAACGTATGCATTATTATTATAACTTATCTGGGAAATTGGCAGTGGACATTTCAAAAGATCCAAGCATATCAGTGAGAATTTAAATGAATCATTAATTTCAATGATGGATGACCTTTTGCTTTGCTTACAATTACAGACTAATAATGCAATAACACACACAGACATAATAAAGCATGATTTGTTTTTCTTTCAGTGTGAGATTCGAAACTTATCCAGACCCATGGTGGTGACTCGGCCAATCAGCTCCCTGGTCTCCAAACAGGTGGCGCCCCCTGCTGGACAGAGATTTAAGAGACTGTGTGTGTCTCCATCGACCACTCCTGGGGCTGAGGACATCAGTGAGTCCTATTGTCCTGTTTGGTTGTGTTCAAAATAAGATTTCAGCCTAATCCCTTTTCTCTGTGTAATACTCTATTTACAGGAATGTTGACTTGTTTGTATACATTCATTGTCTTGATTAATGATGAATTAATGACTGAATGATAAATTATAATAATATAAATAATGAATCATGAGTGTTGTATGTGTGCAGGCTCCATGATGCAGGTGGGACCCCTGCTGGCGATCGTGTTTACAGCCTTTGTGATGGGCACCTGTCTGATGGGGGGACTCTGGTACATCTATAGCCACACAGGCATGTACCTGTCGCTTATCTTCTGCTTTTCCTCTAATGATTGCATAAAAAAGACATGTGTTTTCCATGTAGGTTTAGCGGCGATCAGAGAGCGTCTCACAGACAATGCACTCAGAAGCCACAGTCTCCTGAATCCATCCTCACACTCCACCCAGTCCAGTACGTCTGTGTGACAGGTGGGCGTCAGGTTATCATTTCATTCCTAGACAATGACCTGCTTTCTGAGAGGGTTGTTTTATTTAATGCAGTCACAGTGAAATCCCAGCGGCACGAGACGAGTGTATTTCCTGGAACCTCTGAATAGCATTATGATTAAATGTGTGGGTGAATGAATATTGTTATATTATGTCAATCTGTACATGTTTTGTTCAATAATCCATACACTGGGTTTTTGAGTTTTCCCTTGCCTGGACTGGGCTGGGGGCTTTGTGTGGCTCCCAGACCATTTCCAGTAATGATATGTCAAAAACATCATTCTGTAAATTAGTCTAAAATAAACTTGGTCCAGTTTTGGTTCAATCAAAATAATATCAAAACTAATACTAATAATAATAATAAATAATAGTTTGTTGAAAAAAAAAACAAGGTTGAAATAAAACAGCCACAGATGACAATGATGAGCGATGAACAAACTTTACACAAACATTGAATATGTGTAAATAGGATAATGTTGACAAAATCAGTAACAGTTGACTCTAAAGTGTTTGTGTCGTCCTCAGGTTCCTCCTCGGTCTGTGACTAAAGTGAGACCAGTGGGACCATGATGATTGAAAACTGAACTTTTTTTGCTGCTCAGTCGTTACAGACAGACGCCACATCCCTTTTCAGAAGAGACTGCATGGACAAAAGGCAACATGTATTCCATAACCTGAGAATGAGAATAAAGTCATATGTGGTTTGTGTTTCTATTTTCATTCTTTGTCAATATCTGGGAAAAGCCACTTTATCCAAAGTCTATGTGCTATAATCCTATTTACAGTATGAGCTCATTTGTTGTAAATGTAAATAAAATATTGTGAAAGGTTTCTAAATGTGTGTGTATGCTGGATGTTCTCTCTAAGTTCTCTGTATAATCTTGGGTTGGCCTGATTTTACAATATATATATATATATATATATATATATATATATACAGTGCCTTGCGAAAGTATTTGGCCCCCTTGAACCTTTCAACATTTTGCCACATTTTAGGCTTCAAACATAGAGAATTAGTAAAGTTGGCTTAATTGTGTAAAAAATGTGTTCTATGTACACTTTGTTTGGCTGTTTCAAATTGTTTTCATACTACTTACTGTAACACCCCTCTAGATTACAGCCATTCTTCTTCAATGCTGTATTATATAAGCTGTGTGTGTGAGAATGGACTGAATGTGTGCGGTTTGTAAATATCGAATGCTCTATTTGAATGTGTGTTACGGACATGAACGAGCATGTGATCGTGTAAGACCCTTCCCTTTGAGCTCAAGACTTTTTTCTATTTGTTCAATGATGTTTATTGCAATAGTGGTTTTGCTCTGTGGTTTTATGTGGTGATCTGCGTATGCATTTGTATTAATGAAAAGTCAGTGACATACAGTAAATAGCATTTGAAATTGGGGTCTTTGTGTCTTTCACTCACACACAATGCATTACTGTTGCTTCCATGTATATTTACTGGGTCGTTTTAATCTGAGGGATTTATTTAGAGCTCCACTTAGAAAAGACACAAAAAACTGAATTATGTAAAGCAATTGTAGTTCTTGGCTTTGAAAACGTTTGACTTTTTATTACTAGTTCTCTCATACATGTAGTTTTGGCCTTTCACATCTTTTGAACTAGCTTTTTCAGACAGAAAAGAGAAAAAGAGCCACCCTCACTCAACCAATCCTCTCTCAGCCCAAAGCATCGTGCACATTTATCATTACAGAACAGAAACTTTACAGCAGAAAGACTGAAAAGACTTAAGCTATCCGTATTATGCCTATACCCTTTAAACTAGAATCATTAGTTTAAGTGAATGAATACACTAGAGCAGTGGTTCTTAACAAAATGAGATTTATTTTTTTTAAGACATGGAGGTTTTTTACTTGTGCAGAAAATGAGCCGTGCATGAACATAAGATAAACTTTATTGATCTCACATCAACCTAGTCAGATTGAAACTGTGTGTGTTCCTTGCTTGAAGTCTAAAGCACTATATGCGAGGAAATCTGACCTGGGTGTCAGACACAGTAACTTAATAAAAGTTCAGACAGACAGAAATAGTTCTAACAGTAGGGTTGTTAAATGTGGTTTAATGAACGTCAGATCAATCTCGTCTAAATCGCTTCTCATAAACGAACTTATTATAGACAAGGGCTTGGATTTGTTTGCGCTCTCGGAGACTTGGCTCCAACAGGACGACTACGTTAGATTGAATGAGTGCACTCCTCCGACGCATGTTAACTACCAGAAAGCGAGAACTACAGGTCGCGGCAGTGGTGTTGCGATTATATCACACACCAACTTGGTTCTTAGTCCCAAAACCAACAATGCTTTTCAATCGTTTGAAAACTTAACACTTTCAATCACCTGTCCTGGGTGGAGAAAACAAAAAGCGGTGCTATTTATAGTTTTATACCGACCTCCTGGTCCTTACAGCGAGTTCCTAACAGAATTCTCTGACTTCATTTCAAACCTAGTTTTGGAATGGGAAAACATAGTTATAACTGGAGACTTCAATATACATGTGGACGACAGCACTGACAGCTTAAACAAAGCTTTCAGCGCCGTACTAGATGGTGTTGGTTTTACTCAGAATGTTGAGGAACCTACTCACATTCATAATAACCACACCTTGGACCTTGTCCTGACCTACGGCTGTGATGTCTCCAATGTTGACATCCAGCGTCAAAGCTCGTTGCTGTCTGACCATTTCTTGATCACGTTTGATCTCGATTTGGAGGACTTTCCTGTCCCGCTAGATAAAACCATAATGAAAAGAACCTTAAATGATAAATCTATCACAAGGTTCAAAGAACTAATACAGCCTATGTTGAATACTGCTGCAGGTGAACCTGTTCACAGCTGCTGCAGTCCCTCAGTCATTGACCAAACTGTGGACAACACTATGGAGTCTTTAAAATCTGCATTAAATGCAGCAGCTCCTTTAAAACAGAAAACTATTAGAATTAGATCATCGTCGCCCTGGTACAGTGTTCAACTCCACACTTTAAAACAGGACGTCAGAAAATTGGAGAGGCTATATCGCCACTCCCACTCGGAGCCTGTCCACAGGGAGTGGAAAGCAGGTCTCCGAAACTACAAGAATGCCCTTCGCAGGGCTCGAACTCAATACTATTCAACTTTAATAGAAGCGAATAAAAATAACAGTAGATTTTTGTTTAGCACCGTCGCTAAACTCACAAACTGCCATAGCGCAATCGAGCCTAAAATTCCAAGCTCACTGAGCAGTGTCGACTTTCTCCACTTCTTTAATAATAAAATTACATCCATCCGTGACAAACTGGAGGAGGTTAGTGGTAGTGGACAGGCTGAAGCGGCATGTAGTGACTTCCCACTTAGACTCTTCAGTGGGCCTCGATAAATTCATGGCTGTGAGCCAAGCAGAGGTGATCTCTGTGGTCACACCCTCTAAAGCCTCAACTTGCATGTTAGACGCAGTTCCGACATGGCTCTTCAAAGACATACTTCCTTTGATAATTGAGCCTATCGTAATTATAATAAACGCATCCATACAATGTGGCTATGTCCCACAAGCTTTTAAAACCGCTGTAATCAAACCCCTTCTGAAGAAAACAAACCTGGACCCAGAAATACTTACAAACTACAGACCGATCTCAAACCTCACTTTCATATCTAAAATCCTGGAAAAACTTATAGCTGAGCAGCTTCGCTGCCACCTGCAGGAAAATAATATGTTTGAAGTCTTTCAATCTGGATTCAGAGCTCATCATAGCACTGAAACGGCACTAGTCAAAGTCACAAATGACTTACTACTAGCTGCTGATAATGGACAAGTGTCAGTGCTGGTCCTACTGGACCTTAGTGCTGCATTTGACACAATAGACCACAGCATTCTACTGTAGAGGCTAGAATGTGATATAGGTCTTAGAGGAACAGCCCTTGGCTGGTTTAAATCCTATTTATCAGATCGGTATCACTTCGTCAACGTAAATCAGAACTCGTCGCCTTATTCTGGTGTAGAATTCGGTGTGCCGCAGGGTTCGGTACTCGGACCGATTCTTTTCACTCTCTACATGCTGCCGTTAGGAAACATTATTAAAAAGCATGGAATTAATTTCCACTGCTATGCAGATGACACACAGCTTTATCTGTCGATGAAGCCAAATCAGACAGATCAGCTAGAAAAGCTCAGTGCCTGCATAAAGGACCTTAAAATGTGGATGACTCTTAACTTCCTACTTCTCAACCCGGAGAAGACAGAAGTGATCCTACTCGGTCCGAAGCGCCTGCGTGACTCCCCTACTAACCAGATAATTACTCTCGATAATGTCAGTATAATACCCAGTAACACTGTGAGGAATCTTGGAGTCATTTTTGACCAAGAACTCTCCTTCAAGGCTTATATAAGCCAAGCAACTAAAACGGCGTACTTCCACTTACGGAACATCGCTAAAATTAGGAATTTCCTTCCTAAAAGTGACACGGAAAAACTTATTCACGCGTTTGTCACCTCAAGGCTCGACTACTGTAACGCTTTATTGGCAGCGTGCCCTAAAGCCTCTTTGAAGAGCTTCCAGCTCGTTCAGAATACAGCAGCTAGGATCTTAACAGGTACCAAAAGGAGGGAGCACATAACTCCGGTGTTAAAATCACTCCACTGGCTCCCTGTGGAGTACAGAATAAAGTTTAAAATCCTTCTCTTAACATATAAAGCCATAAATGGCTTGGCTCCTTCTTATCTCCAAGACACGTTAGTGTCGTATCAACCAGGTCGAGCGTTGCGCTCACAAAACGCCAGACGTCTGGTGGTTCCTAACACTAGCAAACCCATGGAGGTGCCATTTGGCACTTCTACCTAAAAAGCCCACCACGGTGCCAAATGACTCCAAGGATTTTAGCTAACAAACTAAATCACCTGTGAACGGCCAACTTTGTTATGTAAATAAGGCCATTATCACAGGCTGAGCTGAAGTTGCTCAACCACTTTACTTTGTCTTCTTCGGGAGAGGGAGGATCTGATTAGTTAAAATGAGTTAAATCTAGTGTCATGCTGACTTTAGTTAAAAAATAATAATGAAAATAATAAAGTGAATTGAAAGAAAACAAACGAGCAACGTCATTCAATGTATACATTTACATTGTTTACAAAATAAATATGCTACTTACAGTTTTTCTCAGTGTCTTTGGTGCATTTATCACATAATTCTTCACATTTGCACGACAGTTAGTGCATTTATCAGAACAATTAGTACAAACTGCAAAACCTTGGGGATAACCTGCAAAAGTGCATCACCTTCTCAAAATGAAAAGTTTATTCCTCAAAAGCAAGTCTTCATGTCGAGGAAACTGTCTGTCTCAAAATAATAAGTCTTAACAACATGGAGTATGAACAACAGTCAAATGACTTCGTCACGTTTTCATTGTGACACTTTACTCTCTGTGTTTTCAAAGCAAAAAATCTGATCTTGGTGAACACTGTACAGCTGAAAACTACAGTAAAGTTACACACAACTGTATTTAGTGAGAGTAAAAGAACATTTATACTGTATGTACTGTATGTGTGTGTGTGTTTGTGCATG